TATAAAATAAACGATAGTTACTTATAAAATGATTGGCCTATGTGGTGCTGGAGGAATAGGGCCGTTTTCTCGAACATGTCTGTTCCATTGGAGACTAACCCCCGTTATTTTTCGGCTTTTTTGCCAAAACGCTCTCTTAGCGGTTTTGACCGGAATGAAAAAAGCTAAAATCGATTGTTTTGTTGTTTGGTAATAAAGCTTTTGAAAGTAGCTTATGGGCTCAAAACGCCAAAAATGGAAACGCTGTGATTTGCAGCGTTATCATCAGCGTTTTGCTTTTTTTTTGTAAATTTGAAAAAAAAAAATGTTAATATTAGCATATAATCCTAGGGCCACTATTTAATAAGTACACGCTTTATTGTTTTTTTTTTCGTCATGTTTTGAATTGTGCATACTATGCTTCTCGTTATGTTTCGAATTTTGCATACTATATTTTAATCGTCTTGCACACAGTTTTTAAAATTTTAATTTAATTTATTTACTCATATTTTTGTTGACATAAGATTACAATAACTTTAATATATGTACTAGTGAATATTAAAAATTAATAAATAAAAAATTTTAAGTTTGTACATGTTCTTATGATCAATATGTAGTCTTTTCAATGGAACTAATATTCATACTTAATTAGAATAGATGCATATTTTTAAAAATTTGCATGGCTTTGTTTATATGACGTGAACTTATTTACTCAATTATAAAAATATTTATTTTATTATTATTTATATTATATTTAAAATCACTTTAATAAATATTAAAAATACTAATTATTTTTTTTAAATAATTATAGGTTCAACATAAATAAGGATGATAAAGTATGTTCATGTTCTTATAACAAATTTTACATATTAACAGCTAATTCAAAAAAGCTAATATTACCAATTTTTTTTTACAAACCGCTAACACAATCAGCTAGTCAAAAAGGCTAACGCAATCCGTTGGTCAAAGCAGCTAATGCAATCCTCTAACCGCTAACAGCTACCCGCTAATTACCAAACAAGGCCTAAGGCCCACAATATTCGTCGTCGTGTGGAGCAGTACCGGATGCCACATCCAGTGCGGTCGTGCTGGGTGCTCGGGCTCGATGTTATGAGTCGATTATGATACACTGGACAGCTCCCCCTCTGGAGTGGATTAAAGTTAACACAGACGGTGCATTTTGTTCTGCTTCTGGACGGGGAAGTGCTGGAGGTCTTGCACGAGATTCTAGCGGCATGTGGGTTGGTGGCTTCCTTATGAACGTGGGCTTGTGCACAATAATGGTTGCCGAACTATGAAGACTTTTTCACGGGCTTCATTTGGCATGGGATCTTGGAGTGAGACTGGTACTCGTGGAAGTAGATAGTCAAAGTGTCATTTCTATGGTTCTGGGGCCTGAGTAGATCGTAGGCGTTCATGGACATATTATTCAGGCTATTCGGGAGTTAATCAAGCGGGAATGGGTGGTTCGTTTGTCTCATATTCATAGGGAAGGGAACTTCTCGGCTGATTCTTTGGCTGCACTTGTTGTTGATGTCCCGGTGGGCTATCATCGACTTCAGAGCCCACCCATGGAGCTCGGCCATTGGCTAATGCATGATATTGTCGGCGTGGCTTATCCCCGTCGTGTTCCGCTCTAGTGTTCCTTAGGCTTTGCCTTCCTTTCTTGTACCGGAAAAAAAATGAACACACGAGCTGTACAAAGAATCGAGGGAACTATATAGATCTCAAATTGGATAAAACCCTAATTTTATTCACCAAGATTTGAAAAACATTGGAGCCTGAGATCGATAATGTGGGACATTATTTGTCCCTCATGTATTGAAATCATTTTAAGTAGTGTTGTAAACGAACCGAACGTTCGCGAACAAAAGTTCGTTCGAGCTCGTTCGTGTTCGACAAAAGCTCGTTCGAATGTTAATTGAGCTGAGTTCGAACAGAAATTTGGGCTCGTTTAATAATCAAACGAACACGAGCTCGTTCTATTATGTTCGCGAACATTAATTTAATATAATTTTACTTAATTTTTTTATATATTTGCATCATATTTTTAATAAAGTATCTAAAATTTAATATAATTTTATTAATTTTTTATATATATACAAATATTTTTAATAAAAAAACTGAAATATAAAAATATTTTTATTTTATTTTTTTATTTTCGGGTTCAAACGAACAAATTTCGAATTAATTGAACATATTAAAAAAAATTGTGTATTAAATTATTCAAACACGAACGAACTCAAACTTTGACGAACAATTAAACGAACGAGCTCGCACACGATTTTTGCTCGAAAAATAAACGAACGAACACGAACACTGTTCGGAAGTAAACGAACACGGGCTCGAACAGCCCAAGCTCGGTTCAGTTCGGTTCGTTTACAACACTAATTTTAAGAAGGTTGAGTCGGACCATCTAAATTGATGTTTCCATTTCCTCTGTACACGTTAAACTAAAATGAACAAATAAGTATTAATTTTATTAATATTCTTATATAACAAAATAATAAAAGCATCATTTACCCACTAATTTATGTTAGGCCAAAATATAAGAGTCTGTGACTGATAACGTGGGACATTATTTGTCTCTTGCGTGTAGAAATCATTTTGAAATTATTGAGTCGGACTACCTAAATAGATGTTTTCGTTTTCCCCTTGCACATTAAAATAAAACAATAACAAAGTAATAAATTTATTAACAGTTTTGTAGAATAATTAATAATGGCATCATTTACCCTTTAATTATGTCACGCCAAAACATTTGGGATGGATAAGACGTTTAAAAGTAACCATGGTTCATAATTTGGTTGGTAAAAAAATAATAAATTGTTGCCAAAAATCCTGATAAAATAAAAGCAAGACTAATGAAAATGGAATATGCCACATGGCACCTTTTAATTGGTTGTTGCCAATTGTGGATGTCACCCTTACTGGTGGTATCAACTTAACCAGAAAAGAGATGAGGAAGCAGGAAATAAGAAGTTGTTTTTAAATTCAGGAAGGCCCCATGTGCTATCTTTTTCTTTTTCTTTTTTTCGCTCGCAAACAAACTAATAACATTAAACTCGACAAAGAGTACAATAGAATAATCAAATGATTACAAAAACGAGGACAATCACAACAGAGAACATGCACTGCCTCAACCAGGAAAGAAAGCAAATTACAACCCCTCAATAGCCACAACTAAACCTTACTCCTAGCACAAGCTAAACCAGCAAAAGCAAAGGAACAAAAAGAAAAGCAGCTAACAAACAGATAACTATCCTCTACTACCACTCCAACGGCCTGGCCAAACAAAGATTTTTTTTACAGTTTTCAAACAACAGCACACATTGACAAGGTTCAATTTAGCAGCCTTCTCGAAAACCCATCTAACAACTAACAATAAAGCTGTCTTTGCATCCCCTTCAAAGTCCAATACAAGTGACCATCTATTTAATCTTTCCCCTCAACTCTTGCAATTACTCCAGACTCGAACTTTCTCCTTACAGATGTCTGAGCACTGATCAACACGAAACGTTATCCTACACCATTGGAAAATCCTCTACAAGAGTCTTCATAGGTCTCAAATGTTCTCCAGTTCTCAAGTTTCTAGTCCATCCATAAGAATTCCAACCACTCATCTTGTGCTCCCTAAACTATAACCCTCTTGTTGTTCTTTCTTGAAAACTAAAATTATTCATAGCCTTTCACAACCATCAAAGAAGGTAGGTTGAGAGACTAACTATATCTCTGATATTAACAGCCCAACCACAACAACAGATCTCCTTCCACCAACATTTAAAGGAAGACTCCAGGTGCCCTAGGTTGTTCCAATTAATGCCCAACAGTTAAAGGCTCTTGGGATTCCTGAAAAAACAAGTGTTCAGCATTCTCCTGCCTTTTCCCACAAACTTCACACACCCCATCCACCTCAGCTCCTCTCCTCAACAGCTACAATTTAAGACTCAGATACCCAAGCCAACTTCTCTATATGAAGTTTTTTATTTTTCCTTGATAGGTAGGTTCCTGGTTGTTCTCCACATCCACTTAGCACTTTTGTCAACATTGCTTGGACCAGCCTCTTCCTTAGAATTCAACCTTTTGAGGATGATGGACTCATACACAGTTTTGACAAAAAAAAATAAATAAATAAATAAAAATTCCTTTATGACTGCAATGTCATATCAGCTTATCTGGTTGTCCCTCTGGCCTAAATGGCTCTAAGAGATTCTCAAAATAACCTCTGCATCAACAGGAGGAAAAGTTTCCCTAATAATCTCCTTATCTCACTCTCTATCACCTTGTTTAACTAAATCCCAAATTGTAGTTACCTTGGATTTTATCATCGTAAAAATAAAAACAGGCTTGAATAAGGCTGGTTAAGAAGCCAATGGTAGTTTCAAAGATTTCCTAGCCTCTAACCAACTTTTCCAAAGTAAATAGTCTAAACTTCTAAACTTAACCCCCAATAGTTTCTCCTTCTAAATTTATTTTCCTTTTATCACCCTGCCCACTAACAGATTAGATTGATTAATTAGTCTCCAAAGTTGTTTAACAACCAAATCCTCATTAAAATCTCTTAAATTTCTAAACCCCAAACCCCTACTCTCTTTAGGTTTAGATAAGCTATCCCAGTTTGATAAGTGAATTTTTCCTTCCCCTTACTCCTTAACACCCCTCAAACCTAGCCACCTCCCTGCAAATCTTATGTAGAGAGAGACAGGTAACTTACAACAAGACATAACATAGGTTGGCAAAGCTTGTAAAACTGTTTTAATAAATATTTCTTTGCCAGCCTCAGTCAGAAATTTATTCTTCCAGTTATTAATCTTTTGAATCACTCTATCAATCACAAACTAAAAAATCTCTCTTTTGTACCTACCAATCCCAAGAGGAGTCCCAGGTATTTAGAAGAACTAACTGTAGTGATGACATTCAAGACGTTGCAAATACCAGTGGCAGTTTCAGAAAGAGTATTTTTGGTGGAAAAAATATAAGGCTTATAAAGGTTCACTAACTGATATCAAGCTACCCCATACTCATCCAATAGATTATTAACAAGAGCGTGAGAAACATCTGCTTAACAAAACAAAATAGAGTCACTTGCAAAAAATAAGTGGGAGATCATTGGAGCTTTTTTGCTAATTTTGATACCCTTAGAAGAAGAGTTAAGACAAGTCTGTTTAACACGATTAGAGAATGTCTCTGAAAGAATGATGAACAAATAAGAAGATAGGGGTCTTCCCTGTCTAATGTCGCTAGTGGGCTGAAGATAACCTAGAGCATTGTCATTGCTGTTAAAACAAATGGAGGAGGAACAAATTTAAAGACAAGTAACTCCCAAGAAAAAAATTTATCACAGAAACTCATCCTCTGCAAACCCTAGCTAAAAAGGTCCACTCCACCTTATCATTGGTTTTGACCATGCCAAGTTTGACAGAAATAAAGGTCTCCTTAACAAGATTGGGACTAGAGTATGAGTTAGTCATCTGAGTGAGGGAGATTTTTATCTTGGGGTAGGACATTTTTTGTGTTAATTTTAGCGCCGCCACCACCTCCACTGAGATGATCAGACTGTGTGCACTTGTCGTGATGCAACAACAACGATGAATAATGTTAATGCCAAATAGCATTAATAACACTAGCATCCGTCAAAATCTCATAATCTAACAAACACTAGGAAAGTCCTCAATCGAATAAAACAACAATAATAGGCTCTCGACATGTTCTTCCTTCTGCAGGAAAAATTCCAGTGAAACAGAAAAAAAAAAAAAATGCTATATCGCCGGTTTCTCAAAATCACTAAACCAAAGTTCGCATTATATCACCATTTGAAGCCAGACTAGAGATTATTATCCCAAGAACTATCATCAGTAACTCCTTCCCCAGTAAGTCCACTTTTTTGCAGGCTTTCCTGATGCGAAGCACAAAGTACCTGCAAATTGAGAAATTGGACATATAAGATCCACAATTTTCAAAACTCGTTGAGTTGGATTTTATGATTTGCCTCGTGTTCTTATTAGGGAATGAATGTTATTACCTTCTGGCAGGTCAGGCTGATCAAATGGAGAACAAAGTGACTTAGCTGCACCCATGTCTCCTTTAGTGCGAGTTTTCACATCCTTCTCCACTTCCTGTGACATCAGACATGCAACACACACAGTTGTTTTAAACATTAAGCACTGTCATAAAGAATTGGCAGCAATGCCTGTATACGGGACAAATGGTATCAAATTATTTTTCCAGATCTACTAAATGCATGGAACAAGGTGTTTTAAGAGCCAAATAATCGGGCTTATATAGAGAATTTGATGTCGAACATAACAAGAAAATGGTAAACGAAAGCATTAATCTAAGGAACATATTTGAGAATGAGACTAAACCACCTTTGAGGTCATCCTACTATCAAAATACACAGTAATCTCCAGAATATACTTGTCTATTCACTTAACTTGTTAAAAGATACCCCCTGCTATCAATTTGTGTTACAAGTTGATCCCAGGATGATACAAAGTTGCAAAACACAAAGATCATGGAGTATAGCTAATTCTGAAAGACAATAGTTGTTTAATTTAATCTAATATTGTTTGACTTTTCAGATATAAGCATCATAATCTGAAGGCTAGCTATTTTAGTTATTTTCATATATAACTGAGAATTATATAATGTAACTCTTTATATAATCAGCCGCTACTTATTTTACTCTCTCTACTCTTATCAATCCCCCATGAAAAATGATGACAACAATGATTAAAGAAAAAAGAAAAATAGAATCCATCATTATGCATATGCCTCGTGGAAGCAATCAAAATCTCATGGCAAGCTAACTACAAAAAATGTGATAGTACAAACAATTGGTGAAGAGAGAAGCAGATAATACCTCCTCATCACACCATGGGGCCAGAATCATCTTCTTCTGGCCAAGTGCTTCAACAAATTCTTCCCACGTGTGTACAACTTGGATGCAGGCATCTCGTTTTTGCTTGGCGACATCAAAGAGATTTTGTTGAATGTTGCTAAGCATTTCTTTCACTTGCTCCACCAAATCAGCCGTAGGAATCTCAATCTTAGCTGAATTGTCACGTCGGACGGCACGGACCTGACATAACAACAAGTTGGCTGATTGGGAACAAATAATACTCCTGGTATGGATAGCGACTTCGCAAAAAAAATACAGGTAATATTTCTTAATCAGGTTGTTAACAAGAAGCAACCTTTAGGTTTAGGTTCAGTGCAGAGAGAGAGAGAGAGAGAGAGAGAGAGGGAGAGAGAGAGAGAGAGAGAGAAGAGAGAGAGAGAGAGAGAGAACCAGCCTTTAGTATTATAAGTACAAATGTGAAGGAAATGTTGATAATATCACAAGGTATGGTAATTTTGAAATGTAACTGGACTGTTCTGTAATTGGTCTAAACTTCATAAATAGCTTTTGTACTTTTATACTTCTTCAATTATAGGTGCTTAATCAGCATACCTGATTATTGGCTAAGTCTTTGGGTCCTATCTCAATCCTAAGAGGAACACCTTTCAGTTCCCAATGAGAGTACTTCCATCCAGGTGAATAATTATCTCTAAAATCAGCTTCCGCACGTATTCCTGCTTCATTCAAAGATTTTACAGTGGCTTCACATGCATCAAAGATCCCCTGAGTGTTGGCATCCTTATAAGGAACGGGGATTATAATTACTTGGAGAGATGCAACGTTAGGAGGCAGCACCAAGCCCTTATCATCCCCATGAACCATTATCATTACCCCAATCTGTCATAAATGTATTGATAGGAAAAGGTGCAAGATATAAGAGCAGTAGGAATAGTGAAATCTTGAAGTCAATCAGGCAAACATATCCTAATAGAATGAAGGCACTTGATGAAATCATGATGAAGTGAGCATAAAAAGAAAGAATATATGCATGGAAGCATATAGAATACAGAAGAATTCTACTGTTACAATAACAAGTGTTGAAACCAAAATGTTTAATCATATAATAGCTTCATCTACAATTTCAAATTGCGATTGGATACCAGAAAAATTGATGTCTTCATCCTCCAACCAAAAATTACAGCATTCATTCATCTCAGTTCTTCTCTAAAAAAATTTCAATACAACTTAAATTAAAAATCAATCTTTGCTACACATTTCTCTACAAAATTTAATATTCATCTACTCACATATTAATAACTACCAAAAATTATTTTATTCCCTATCACATCACAATTAAGGATTAATCTTTATATCATATCATTTTACATCATTCAAATTATTCATTTTTCCACTAACTTTTCTTTCTCCAACACTTTTTTTTTTTTATCAAATGACAGTATTATCCAATTGCACCCTAAATTGTTATTTGCTTATGATATGGGTGGTGTATAGAACAAGTAAATCAAAATATATTCACCACATTGAGAACCTCAAATTCCACTATCACTGCCAGCAAATAATGATAAACTTAACAATATTATTAGATACAGAAATACACAAACGGCAGAAAATGTACTTCAAAGCCCTCCAGAACAGAAGCAGTCATAAATGCCCGAAGGGGAGGTTTAATAGTCATCTTTTAACAGCATACGATCGGCCACAAGTAATAAATAAAAAAGAGGCCCTGTCACTTCCGTATAAGCACTTTGCATACAGGAACACCTAGAAACCTGACGTCAAATTACGAGGAGAGTTTACCGTTCTGGTGGTGTATGCCCAGGAATTCTGCCACACCATAGCCTTTTCACCTTTCTCATTCTCAAAATTTATCTCAAACATTTTCGCAAAATTTTGACCCAGACAGTGAGAAGTTGCACCTTGCACACCACGTCCGGTGTTTGGGACAAAGGCCTGCCATGTAAAAGAGCATCCCATTTAAAGATATGATAAAGAAGTGCACCAAAGATTTCTCAGCACAAACATTCTGCAAGAATTGTAACCTCCACAGTTGTCGTATAAAGCCCACCAGCAAATTTCTCATGCTCGCTCTTTTTGCCCTTAATAACAGGAACGGCCAAGAATTCTTCATATATGCGCCTGTAGAGTTCCAGAATTTCAAGCACCTGAAAAGTATAGGCATAGCACACATCCATTATGATTCACACAATCTTGAACCAAAATAAATTGGATAAGAACCAGTTTTAGCAACCAACATTACATGTGTAACAAAGAAGAATTAAATTCGGGACAAGTCAAGGATATCAGATAGAACAATATATCCTACCTATTCTACAAAATACATATCTCATAATACAGTAATTTCACAGGTTTCACAAAAGTAGATAAATAAATAATAAAAAATATTATTTCATGTGAACGATCATCTTGCCATCTTGGCGTTGGGCATCCATAAGTTAGCAAAGACGTACCTCAGTATCTGCCTCCTCCTTGGTTGCAAAAGCAGTATGTCCTTCCTGCCAAAGAAACTCACGACTCCTACAAAATCACTAACTGTCAACAACAAATAGAAGGAAAATAATCTAGTTTCTTTTTGCTTAACCAAGATAAGAGCTACCCTAACTTGTTTCATAAATATTAGCAACTAAGATATCATACAACTAGGGTATAACAGGTACAGAATCCATAAGCTTAACATTACAGAACTGGGATTTGGGCATTTGTTCTAACTTTCACCTGCTAAACCAAGTTATAACTTACAACACTTCCTATATATACCAAATAATTACAATGCCACATTAATTGAGCACGAAACAGAAACCAAGCACTATATAAGCACCTTATAAATGGAGTGGGATTGCTGAATTCCCATCTAACAACATTACACCATTGGTTGAGTCTCAAGGGCAAGTCACGGTGCCCCCTTATCCACTTGGAGAAATATGGATACATGACAGTTTCACTGGTTGGACGAATCGCAATGGGCATCTCCAACTCAGATTCTCCCGACTTTGTAACCCAAGCAACCTGCAGAAGATTTCTGATCATTGGTTTCTCTCTCACTCACAAAAACAAAAAGGGAAAGTTGCAAATTCGAAAATAAATATGACAAATAATTTTTCTAAAACGTCTCGTTAATGAAGATATACTCTGCAGTACCACACTTCATTACTCCAGAGGTATAGGCAGTCCAATGTAAACTCATAGTGGTAATATATGCAATTCAAAGTATAAAAAAAAAAAATTTACAAAAATTTACTAGAATGTAAATATGTACTTGGTGATTGCATGTACAGGACAAGATAATTTATGCACACGCTCATACAACAAAGTCAAGGTTCATGAATAAGAACCAAAAGCAAGGTAATGTCACCTCAGGGGCAAACCCCTCGATGTGGTCCTTCTCCTTTTGTAGGACATTAGATGATACAAACAACGGGAAGTAGCAGTTTTTAATTTTCATTTTCTTGATTTCAGCATCGAAGAAAGTCTGTAGAGAAAAATTGTGGACAAATAAATTAGCATATCACATCATATCCAGTGAGACAAAGTAGAAAACAGCATCATATTCAACGAGAGTTAAGTACGTGTCAAGTTAAGGGCTGCCTCACAGGATGCAGACTGTAGAACTGTAACACAATATCCTAATTCAAATACCACAAAAATAGAAACCTCGTAAAGCACAACTGGATCAATAAAAAAGAAAAATAATAACAAATAAAGATCTGAACAAAGAAAAGATCTTGGGAAATTGAGTAGATATAAAAATCGACAATATGTGGCATACACCTGATGATAGTATTTGTGAGTGTCTAAGTGAAACACATGTTACTCCAAAGAAAAATAAAATTTGCAGCTTTCTACAGAAATGTTCAACAGTTGCCATACTTCTATAATTCTAAAAAACAATTTGATACATAAAAGCTTATTATTTTAACTAAATCCAACCAATATGCATACTTACTTGCATGACCTCCCAAATTGACATTGCCCATGGTCGCAGAATGTAACAGCCAGATATGTCATAGTATTCAATCATTTCTCCATTAACAACGACCTGAATATAACCAATAATGAAATCTATAAGATTATATAATTCTTATTATATCAATTCAAAGGTCGAAACAGATCTAGAAGTACAGACGATAGACATGCCATAATAATGTGCACATAACATAAAGAGAGTAGAAGAATAAGTCATATTAGTTCTCTCATTAAACCTATAATCCCTTTACCTTTATTAAATTTTTCCATAAAATAAAAGATACCATTCCTTCAAAGTTTAATTCAATTTCTTTGATAAAAATGAAGCAACCAGGAAAAAAGCAACCAGATAGATGCTAATAATGGAATACATTTACAGAGGATAGTTCAACTAACTGGAATGTGGCCATACTCATACCTCAGAGTACCATTCACCAAAGTTCTCGTCTTTCTTATTAGAAAGACCTAGGCCTGTCTCCTTTTTCACTTCTTTCTTCTTACCCTCTGCACAAGTGAGTCACATGATATCAGTCAAATCACCACAACCAAAAAGCAGCGCAAGCAAACAGAAATGAGATACAAACCATAAAGGGGGCAAAAAAACTAAGCTAGCTTCGGATATAAAGTAAAGAAAATGAGGTAACTCACTGGCAGAAGAACTTTTTCCATCTTTTCCGGCCATGCTTGTAAATGAAATAAACCCAGGGCACAAGACCTAAATATGGAACATCAATATGGCCAAAAGTTTTTAAAATAATGGAAGAAAAGATTAAAAAAAATCGAAATAACATATATTATTTGGAAATCCTGTAGGGCAGGTTAATAACAAAACATGTGCTACAGAACCGATGTGGCGATAAAAGGCTGATATCCCTTACCTATATAATGTGCAAAAATTCCTTCATCTGGACATGCATACTAGAAGAAACTAAGAAAAACTGAGATAGTAAAGACAAACATTGAATAGTTAAGCAAATTCAACAGATTGCAGCTACATTATAACTCATTCCTGCTAATATACAGCATCAAATTCCAGTTCTCCAAATGTCGGGCGTCTCAATCAACTAAATTACATGGACTTACGAAGCGAATTAAATACATGAACAGTATCCAGAAAACTGCACTACAAATTTACCGAGCTTCCACAATTCTCTGTAAATTCAACCTTAGTGCAGAAACTCCATTAATTTCATCAACAAAAAAGATCAAAAAGAAAAAGGCGCAACCACTGTTCCTTGAACTAAAAGAACATGCGCAGTCCGCGCTAGACAATCGGCAATCGCAATTAAACAAAGAATCTGGGCACAAGTACAAACAAATCAAGGGAAACTAATAATACAGCAGCCTACCGATCGAGAAACGGCTTGTTCACTCGGTAATGTCCGTCGTGCCGCCGCCGCGCAGTGGCGAGATAAGGCCGAAGTCGTTCGTTTCAACCTTCTGGGTAGCAGTAATTTTGCACTACTCTTTTCGTCAACGGTTTATGCTCGGATTTGTAAAAGGAGTAATAATAATATTATAACGCTTATTTTTTTAAAAACCTTTTTTTTCTTTTTTTTTGGGTACAAATTGTAAGGTTGGAGAGGAATTCGGAGATGATTACGACATTAGGAGTTTTTCATTTTATGTCTTAATAATATTAAATGTCTATAGTTATTTTTTATATAAGTTACTTTTTATATAATAAAAAAAAAAATTACTTATTTTTGTTCATTATAATACTTAGTTATTATTTTTTTTTTTTATTGCCGTATAAAGTTGTTATTATAAAAGTAGTTTCTATATAACATATAGTGATAAATATTTAATATGCATTAATATTATTTAATATTAGTTATGCAACTTATTTTAAAAATATTTAAAGAAATTCAAAATAAATAATACCGGGGTCTTCCACTTTTATTGAGTATTGACGAAGGATGAAGAGGAGAATGAGATATAGTGGAGGGATACGTGATTATCGATTCCCGTTATACGCGATGTGACGAAAAAGACGGACTATAGTGCTACTGCTAGGCTTGCTGGTATTACCAGGTTCTTGCCCTTTCAGAATAAGAAATACTAACAGGAGAGAGGCCACATAACCGACGCATCGAACTCGCAAAGTGAGCCAATCCTGTTTTTTCAAAACCAAGATTGTGTTATATATACATTCTATTCATTTTTAGGATTTGTCCTAACTCATAATAATTATAAAAAAAATCAGATTATATAATTATATGACATTATTCAATATGTTATGCATCAAAATGAAATTAGTAATTAGGCAATATGGTAGATGTTTTGAAATTAGAGTATTGGATTTTATGATAAAAGATATTAACTCACAAATAATTCAATTAATCATTTGCTATTGTTAATGTAACAAAAATAATTCAAATATTAAAAAAGTATTGTAGTTAGATATAGTTTAAATCAATTAACCATTTGTGATTGTTAATGTAACAAAAATTATAGAAATAATTCAAATTTTAAAAAGGCATTGTAGTTAGACAAATTTTGACATTTCGTTAATTTTTCCAAAAAGTTGCCTAAATTTCAGACAGGATTTTCCAAAGCTTTATCTGATAAAATGATTTAAACAGTCTATATAAATTAGATTCTTTTCAAACTGTAAAAAGCTATGCAAAAGTTAACAAAATTTTACACGATTGTGAAGTAGGGATTTTTCAAAAATAATATGTATTAATCCTAAAAACATGAGTAATTAGAAAGCATTATCGGTAAATACGATAGAAAATTTCTAATTAGAGTACTGAATTTTATGATAAAAGATATCTTAAAGATATTGTCGTTGATATTTTTTAAATAAATTAACAATTTACAATGGTTAATATACTAAAAATAATGTAAAGATCCAAATTTTATAAAGGTGGTGTTTTCGTGTGATTTTTTTGAAAAAAAAAATAGTCGTTATTTTACAAAATTTTATCTAAAAAAAGATTTAAACAGTCCATATTCTTTTCAAACTGTAATTTGGATTCTTTCAAAACTTTATAAGGTGTTGAAGTTAAATAAATATGAACACCCTTGTGATTTCTTGAAAATATTTGTTTCATCGATGGTATTGGTGTGATTTAAAAAAAAAAAAAATCATTCACTTCTGAATTGCGATTTCAAATTTAGAAACAATTATGAATAATTTTTTTTACCCGTAACTAATTAATATGTGCTATCAATAGCAATTAATTATTATTATTATTATATACATTAAAAAGTTAATATGCACATCCCACAAATAAATATTAAGCATATTAAATAAATAATTACAATAAGTATATGAAAATTTATAGTGTAATAAAAAGTTTATGACACAAAAATATTTATTTGGTTTCAAATTTTTTGTTACAGGTTGTCACATAATGTAAAAAATTAAATTTAAATCAATATTTTATTTATAAAATAAAATCCAGTAGGTTTAGTATAATATTTCAAAATCCATGCAAATTATTGATATTCCCATATTACTATTATTATTTGTTGTAGCAAATTATTTTTTTTATTTTATTTTACGGAGTACCAAATCAAAAGATTCGTTCCACGGGTCGATCTCTCGAGGAAAGTTTAGCCGGATTAAATTGCACGTTTATTCGATTATGAAAAATTATAAAATGGTGTCTAAACATTCTAATCAATTTCAGTGTGGAATTTACTATCTACTAATTTTATTAATTTACTTAATAAACATAAAATTATAATTAAAATAGTAAATAAATTCAATAATTATAATGACAATAAGAATATAAATATGATAAACGTGTTAGGGAATTGGGAAACAATTGTTTTCAATTCTAATGATAAGTCCAAATTATTTATTGCTCGGTTAAGTGATTCGATAAACACACTAATTTAGAGGTTTATATTCAATAACTTTTCGTAACAAGAATATAAACATAAATTAATATATTTTCGTATCAAATAACAAATAAGCAATACAGTTACGAACATGCTTACTCGTTTCGAGCCGAGATCAATTAACTTCTCCCCTCTCGGTTTTGAAATTAATTAATTAGATTTAGAAGGTGTTTAATCAACCAAATCGTAAAAACAAGTATAACTCGAAACGATATGAACAATAAATAACATAACATCATCATCGAACCGAAACAATCATTTCCCTATCCCTAACGGAATAGGTTTAGTTCATCATGATTTTATCGGCACAAACAACAATAATAACCCAAGCTATCATCGTACTTATAATAAAGTAACGATAACTTACGATTACTGTTGAAAACATTATGTCAATATATCACTAGAGCTTCAACAAGATATAGAAATATCACTTACAAAATCATGTAAGTCATACATAAGAAAAACTTTTCATAAATGAAGAACTTTCAAGAGAAAAGAAGAGAATTTTTTTACAAGATTTCTAACTATTATTCACTTATGAACTTGATGATTTTACATGCATGGATCACCTCTATTTATAGCTGAGAAATTGGAGTAAAATATAGCTAGAAATCAGCTATAGGTAAGACTTAATCATGACCAGAATAACACTCCATCATCTTGCAGGGAAAATTTCAAAACTAGTCCCACAGGTATAGGGGGCTGACATTTTTTGTCCCAACGGATTTCAAAAAATATTAATAGTCCCGCAACTTTTGAAAAATAATCAAAAGTATGACTTTTTTCAATTTTCTGGCCCGAAATGCCACGTCGCACACACGTGGCGGGATTATTTAAGATTTTATAAATTCTTTTGGGACCAAAAATGTCACCTCCCAAAACCTGTGGGACTAGTTTTGATTTTTTTTTCCTTGCCATTGTACTCAGCCACGTCAGATGAATGTGGCCACGTGGCATTCCGGGCCGGAAAATTGAAAAAAGTCTTACTTTTGATCATTTTTTAAAAACTGCGGGACTATTAATATTTTCTGAATTCCGTTGGGACCAAAAATGTCACTCCCCTATACCTGTGGGACTAATTTTGAATTTTTCCCTCATCTTGCATTATGGAAGAAAAGACAGCTGCAGAAATCTGCATAGTAGCGCCGCTTCTAGATAGAAGCGCCGCTTCTATGTCGACAACTTTGTATGTTGTTACGGTTTTCACTCGTTCGGGCTCGTTTGGACTCGGAATTAAATTCTGTTTTACCTGTGCGTTGCTAACGAACCCCTCTTTTCAATGATATGATCACACCCAAAAAAAATTCCAAAATCCTATTCTTCTGAGGTTTTCGACCTATGCAACTTTATTGAAAATAAAGCGAAAAATACCGGAAAAAATATACAGAATCATAAATATTATTTGATTATTACAAATCACACAATAAATGATAAAATACCATAAAACTTATAAAATGACTCAAAATAAAGATAAATTAATAATAAAATAATAACTAAAAACATAACAAAAATAGGACAAACTTTATTATTATTATTATTATTATTATTATTATTATTATTATTATTATTATTATTATTTTCGATTTGTATTGGCTTTTCATTCAACATAAATCTTTATGTATAAGTGATTTGTTATCGTCCCCATACGGCTACTGCTGCCCTTTCTAATACTCCTCGTGCACGGCCTCCTGGTTTTATTCAATAGACTCAAATACGCGTTCGATCGTCGCAGCATCAATATCATCGTCTACACCGAGAACATCCAAATGTATCGATGGACTCGCCATTATTGGCAATGGAAGTCTCGAAGAAGATACGCTGCACGCTTTTGTCGGAGCCCGAGCCACGACCACCACAGGAGCTTGACATTTTGTAATTTCAAAAATAATTTAAAAATATAAAAAAAATAAAAAAAATAACATAAATGTGAGTAAATTTATAGAATCGCAACCGAAATTATTGTGAATTTATAGAATAAGAAGATTGCAATTGAAATTATATATAATCGGATCGATTTTCTTGCAAACGGAACATTTAAGGAATGTAGAATTGAGGGAGAAGAGAGATTATTAACATAATGTGATGAAGAAAAATGAATTGGAGTGGGGGTATTCATAAGTGTTTTTTTCTTAATTTTTTGAATTTTTTATTAGACGTAAACCAGCGTTGTCCGAGTCAACCCAATGGCAGGCGGGTTGGATGAGGGACGACCATTGAAACTCAACGATCGAAAGATCCAAAGGATATTTTGAAATTCCGACTATTGAGAGTGACATATGCAGGTCAGGCCCGACCTGGAATCGGGTTCTGACCCGACCCGTTAATAATTTTTCTTTTTATATAAAAAAGACCATTGGACTTCCAACAGTCAAATTGGTCCGACGACCCAGATTCATGCTAGTTGTCGGGTCTCTAACAGTCGATCCAGTTAAGAGGTTTTTGTAACCTAGACAATAATTGAATATTATACTAGTAATCGACGGGTACTTAGTTAATCAAGTTATTGACTTGCACACATTTCCCATGAATAAATGTTTAGTAAAGCATTTCATCTAAGCTTCTATTAGAAAAAAGAAAGTAAAAGG